GTGAATTAATCCTTTGGGAAATCCTTTGTTAGAACAAAGAATATTTTTGTATTGTGAATACCCATTACCTAAACCATATATATAAAGATTTTCATTTAATACTGTATTTGCCAGTTTGGGTAAACCAACATGGATTTCTGTGTAGCCTCGTTTTAAGTGTCAGAATATGTTAAATGATTTATACAGATAGTTTATTGAGTTTTCTGTTTTTATACTAGAAAAAGAAAGTCTTAACTGTTGAATGTCAGAAGAAATTTAGACTAAATGTAATTGTACCCAACTATTATAATGTATCTCGGAGAACATGAAAGGATTTCCTTTGAGCAGTTACATGAAATGCATTCTTACTTGGTGTTAATTTTATTGCTGACAGCCATTTGTCCTTTAGGAATATACTTCTGAAAGCTGGTATAAAGAACAACAGTTTCACTAATATGGATTGACAAGACTATCTTGAAAGAACTGGCTAAGTGTGATAGGGAACATGTAGGCTGACTACAGGTGAGCACTTACTTTAGAGGTCCAGGTTAGGTGTCTTGGAACCATCAGTGAGAAAGGATAGGTCCTGGTGAATTGCTTTAAAATAAGCATCAGCCTCTAATGGTATGCATTCTTAAATCATCTTTATTGGATTTTAAACTGCAGTTTTATATAATATGCTCTATTTGTTAGGAGAGGTAGATGTTTTAGAGATTCCCATGAACAGGCAAACCTGCCTATTATAAACATAGGTATTGAGGTTTAGTCTTTAAGCACTTATCTTTAACACTTGCTTCTCTCTCTCTAGGAGGGGCTATCTGTAGGCAGCCTATGTGATTGAGGATAGAGCAGCAGCAGGAAGCAAGAAATATTAGAAATCAAGAATCCTGAATTCCCAAATAAGGAAGGTTTCCTGTTCTTACATTTAAATATGGGTTTGTCTGAGCTGGGAATTTACAACGCTTCAGAATACTAGGGTATGTTTTACTGAAATCATTAGGAAGATTATTTTCTATAAAATTTGTCTCCTGACTGATATAAATAATCTTAGTATAGAGCATTCACATTAAAATGTATGCTCTGTTTTTTAATACACATTACACTGTAAAGCAGTGAGCAAATTCGGGTAATTTTTTAGTTGTATCATTTAGTCAAATGGTGTTATTAGACTACTTGATTATGAAACTAAATTAGATACTTTAAGAATTATTGAAAGTCATTAAATAAGTGAATTTTGAAGGGTATTGTGTTATATATAAGGAATCAAAATGGTTAATAATTGAGGGATATTTTATTGTATTGAAGGAAACAAAATTTGATATAATTTTCTTTAAAATTCCTTTTTAAAAACAATGAGTATAACATTAAAATTTTTCTACATTAGTTTAAAATGTGAACTTTTAAAACCTCATAGCTTAGAAATTTAATCAGTTATTCTAGTGATACAAGCTCTACTTTGAAAATTAAAATATCTGAGACTTTTTGGATATATTTCTGCTGGGGGGGGGGAAATGTCTTAAAATTAGGCCAAACCAAACCATTTTTAAAAACCTACTTGTAAAAATTTTTCTATTAAAGCTATTTGACACCATTATATGTAATTTAATGCTTTATTCATGAACTTTGGTATGTATTAAATTAGCCTTATGTTCTTAACAAAAAAATAAAAATCTACTTAATTTTTTAAAATCTATTTTGATTTTTCATTGAATACTTCCTTAATCACTCTTAATTTATTGAAGTACTCTATGAAAGCTTAACTCAGGATAACTTGATTTCCTTTCTATTTATTTCCCCTTTGAAATGCTTTGCTAAGCTTTCTGAGGTCAGAAATGGATAACATTGCTTCTTAGCCATAGCAAAGATAATTTGTGTACCATAGACAGCTTGTTTTCTAACCCGTGCTTTCCTTAACTGGGGAAGATAATGAGCCAAAGAAAATTAACTTGTTTTCTAGTGTTAACTAAATTATCTTTAGGAAATTTAAGTATATACAGATTGTAATGATATATATAGTAGTTTTCTGACTACTACTTTTTTTCCTCCTATTTTCTTTTTGTTTTTGTAATAGCAGTGGAACTCTCTCTTCAAATGAAACTTTAGCCATATCCAAGGCAGTTATGCTTAAGGAAAAAAAGAAGTCAAAATCTTACTCAGAACCCTGTGATTTGAAACAAATCAAAATGGAATGGCTCAGGTTAAAACGGTCAAATTGACAGTCATAAAGGAAAAAATGCCATTTAGCTGATGTCAACAGAGGAAATTTAATAAAGAAAAAGAGATTATATAACTTCAGTGTCTTTGAAAGATTTGATGAATCTGATAGAGTAAATTTCTTTAACATGTGACTTCTTTGGATTTTAGTGTTAAAATTTGAAATATCTAAGCTAGAATAATAAAATACTTTAATTTCCATATATGTCATGAAGTTACAAATTCCAATAAAAATCATTAAAAATTTGTCTCTCTTGCATGTGTATATACATCATATTACAGTTGTCTTTTGTTAATCAAGTTTTTTTTGTTAGTGTAGTGAAGCTAGTTGGTGTTCACAGGACCTTACATAATATTTAGTATATGGCACATATTCTTCTAAGAATTATTCAATCCCTTTAATTCCCATAAAAACCTTTAGAGGTAAGTTGTTCTTATTTTCACAAATGAGGTAACTGAGGCACAGAGAGGCTATGTAACTTGCTCAGGTTTATACATAAGACAAGATATGAAAGTAGATAGTAAATGCAGAGCCTCTACCTACACATCTGTTACAATAGTTTCTTAAAAAACATTGAAGGAAACAAATTTTCACTTATTGCCTAAATTTACCTTTAAAATAGATACAAAAACATATTTTGAAACTTTGGTAAAAATAGGAAGCACTTGAAAGATTTTACTTTTAAATATTTTAAACTATAAATGTAGCATTAATATAATCTTTCACGTAAGAAATTTCATACAATTATGTGATAAACAATCACATAGTTACAACATTGAGTTCTTTGAACTAGAATTACTATTTGCAATGTATTAAAAAGATGTGGACTGCTTTGTTGCTACTTGTAGCAGAGCTTCTTAAGGTTAAGTTTTTTGTATGGAAAGTAATAGCATCCTAAATCCATAGTACTTGAGAGTAAGCTGAACTGGCTTCTACCTGTCTGACCTGATTTAATATAGTAAATTCACATTTTCTAACTCAGATGTGGTAAAGCATTTTCTTATCAAAGCTGATTTATTTACAGGAAAAAAAATCACTTTTTAATAGAGTAGTAAATAAGTTGTTTATATTTTGGCCGCTCCCAAAGTGATTCATGAGCTTTGTGAAAATATGTTAAATGATCAGGGACCATACACAGTCCTTTCTACCTGTACTTGTATAAGCATATCTTGATGATATGATAAAGCCCAGAAAGACAAAGATCACAACATTTTCCACTAAGGAATAATATGGTTTATCTAGATTCTATTACTATCTTTGGTCTTTTAGACTATTGTTATTGTTAAAATTGTGTTTTACTTTTGTAACCATAAGTATTAATAATATCACCTTTTGGTATTTTCTTTATAGACTTACAGGGTCTTACCTCTTACCCTAGTAGAAAACATAACTCCATTCTTAAGTTATTTAAATAACAAACCCATTCTTACAGCCATATTTAATAGTATTGTCAGAGAAACTCTTAATTATAGTTAATGTGCAAGAATTTGGAAAGGACAGGAAATATAATTATATCAAATAACATTGTTTTATAATGATAGAGTGAGTGACCAATTTCCTCAATAAATAAAGAACACCTACAATTCAATTTGAAAAAGACTAGCCATCTAAATAAAAAGTTAGGCAAAGACCATGAATAGTTTAAAGAAAAGGAACTTCGAATAGTCCTTAAAAATATGAAAACTCAACCTTATTCATATAAAAGGAAATATAAACTAAAACTATTATGGCATACCATGCTGTTAAGAATGGAGCAGTTCTGAGTTATTATTATGAACAGAACCAATCTAAGATATGTAATTAAGAGAAAAAAAACAACTCAGTTCAGCCTATGAATTAATTATATTAAAATGACACATGTATATGCATTGGTTATCTACAAAAGGATATTTAAGAAATTGCCTCTGGAGAGGTCTTCTAGGTAGCTGATGGGAGGGGTGGAGGAATACATTTTTTCCCCATATCTTTTAAATACTGCTGGCATGATTACCTATTTAGAATAACCTTTGGGAGAAAAATATTAAGTCATAGAATATTGAACTCTATAAGAAACTTTTTAAAGACGTTCCTTTTACAGCTGATTTAGAGTTGCCTTCGTTTAGCATAACAGCCAGCTTTACCTCACTGAGCCTAGCTCATCATTTGTTTTATCAGTTCTCAACTGGGCAACACTTTTTTTTTTTTTTGAGACAGAGTCTTACTTTGTTGCCCAGGCTAGCGTGAGTGCCATGGTCAGCCTAGCTCACAGCAACCTCAAACTCCTGGGCTCAAGCAATCCTGCTGCCTCAGCCTCCCAAGTGGCTGGGACTACAGGCATGCACCACCATGCCCAGCTAATTTTTTCTCTATATATTAGTTGGCCAATTAATTTCTTTCTATTTATAGTAGAGACAGGGTCTCACTCTTGTTCAGGCTGGTTTTGAACTCCTGACCTTGAGCAATCCACCCACCTTGGCCTCCCAGAGTGCTAGGTTTACAGGAGTGAGCCATCGCAGCCTGGCCCTGGGCTACACTTCTTAATGGGATCTTAATAACAGATCCTATCTCTGCTTCCTCATTGTATTCCTGTTATCTAGCATTCTGGTGGTGTTCAGTAAATGTTTGAATGAATGGAACAATTTAAGGTATTTATTGCTCTGTGGCATAGTATATGCTTGAGGGTATTTCATCTTTATCTTTGAAAGAAGAAAAAATATTTTTGTTTCCAGTTACAATGGAAAAGTTCCAAGTATATTTACTATTGTATAATTTCAATCTATTCTAAAGAAACATTTGTAAAGATATAATATATTAATCATTTTTTCAGACACTGGCTTCATGTCCTATTGACCGAAAACCTTTTCAGGCAGTGTTTAAATTCAGTGCATTGGAAGGTTGTGTTAAGGTAAGTCTTAGATTTCGTTTTGAAGTGTGAACTACATAAAGTTAATTGAGGCTATTGTGCATTGATAAATTTCCAGTTTGTCTATATTTGAAAGTTGTTCTACTGTAGATTTAATATGTGATACTATGCCTCCTCAGCATGACAAAGTCAGAGCTTTCAATAGGGATACTGAAATACTGAAGCTTTTTATCTTTGCCCCCAAAAGAGGGCATACCCATAGTGGTCACCTTATAATATTTCACAAAATATATTAGAGCTGTGTTTAAAAGAAGACCTTTAAAAGAAGCTTTAAAAGAAGTTTCACACTGAGTCTTAATTACAGAATACATACATTTTTAGACTATCTTAAGCATGAGGACTCCTGTATTTCAAAAACATTTTTTAATTGGATAGCACTTCAGATACATTTTTTCCACTGAAAAACTGTTGGAAATGGACTATTAGATTCAAACACCAACCCCCACTTAAGTCCAAAATACCTAAAAACTATGTTTTCATGAAGAACATTATAATTTTGAGATTAGTCAATAAAAGTAAATATAAAATGTTTTTGTTCTTAAATGCTGGTTATATCATTAATGTTTCTATGTACGTAGGAAAAGAAATGGAAGCAATGTACAACTCTTTAAGCATTAGTTGTTATCGGTATAGGTATTTATAATTTGTTTTGATATATTTTTAAACAGATAAGTTTTGATGCAAGGCACAAACAAACTGCAATTCAAATAAAGTGATATATGTAAAAAATTATATGCTTGTTGTGATTTTGTAACTCTGTGCCATCGAGGAAAATTAGTATATATCTTGGAGAAAAGATGTAACATTATATAAGTGTAATATAATAAAAATTAAAGTGTGGCTTCTCTGGAAGACATGCTCTCTACTTTTCCAAACTTTATGTGTATGCGCAATTAGGATGAACTGGCTTTGAAAGATATTTTTCTGTGAAATTTTGTTCTGTTGCTTAGAATAAAAATTTGTTTATTTGATAGGGGTTGTATTGTGTTTAAATTAAGAATTTGGTATCCTGCTAATCTAATTTTGTCTAGCTTAAAAGAGATTTCTTGTCATTTGAGATAATTTTCTATATTCTCCTAATTTCTTCCTTTGACTTTAGCTTCTTTTGAATCTTCACAGTATTATCTTTTTCTCTTTACAGTGAAACTTCTTGAATGAGGCATTTGCCTTTTTCAATTCTTTTTTTTTTTTTTTTTTTTTAGACAGAGTCTCACTTTGTTGCCCAGGCTAGAGTGAGTGCTGTGGCATCAGCCTGGCTCACAGCAACCTCAATCTCCTGGGCTCAGCGATCCTACTGCCTCAGCCTCCCGAGTAGCTGGGACTACAGGCATGTGCCACCATGCCCGGCTAATTTTTTGTATATATATTTTTAGTTGGTCAATTAATTTCTTTCTATTTTTGGTAGAGACGGGGTCTCGCTCAGGCTTGTTTCGAACTCCTGACCTTGAGCGATCCGCCCGCCTCGGCCTCCCAAAGTGCTAGGATAACAGGCATGAGCCACCGCGCCCGGCCCTTTTTCAATTCTTTATTTCTTTTCAACTCCCGTAGAGTTCATCTTATTTTGCTAAAACTATTCTCACTACGGTCCAGATTAATCTTCTGACTTCCAAATCCCATGGTTTGTTTTCTGGTTGTAATGTTGTTGACTACCCTTTACTTCCCTTTGACTTCTAGGACAGCCTTCACTTGTTGAAGGTGGTGGGGGAGAGAGAGAGCGAGAGAGAGTGCGGGCGTGTTTTACTTATCTGACTTTTCACAATCTTCTTTATCTCCTTACCTGTTCTTTTTCTTAATTACTAGGGTTCCTCATAGAGTCTTTATTTCAGTTCTCCAGGTATACTTTCTCCCAAAATGTTCTCAACTATTCAGTAGCTTTAAGTACTACCTATATTTGGATAGCTACTAAAATTCTGTCACTAGTCTGGATCTCTTTACTGAGAACCAGACCAATATTTATAATCACTTGTTGTACATCTCTATCTGGGATACCAAAGGTATCTAAACAGTTTTAACAAATCCTGAACTCATTCCCTACCCCATATCCCAGCCCTAATTGTTAATGGAATGACAACCATAACTGATTTGTTCTCCATACCACTGCCAAAGTTGTCTTCCTGAACAAACAAATATGATCATCTGATTCACTTGCTTTAAAAATTCCACTTACTCTCTGATGCATATAGAATTATTTTCTTATTCAAGGACATTTATAGTCTGGTCCTAAGGCATTTGATCAACTTCATATCTTGTTACTCTTTTTTTCCCACCTACTTTGGCTTCTCACTGTTCCTTATAACTCCGTTTTCTTTCCTCCATCTAGAATATTTTTTCTTAAATTGCTACCCATTCTTTAATACCAACTCATAAATCATCTACTTATTAAAGTTTTCTGTGACATCTTCAGAAAGAGTTAATTTTTTAGTCTTAACATATATGTCCAAATCTGCATTCATATCTCCATTATGAGCACTTAATCTATTTATATGCCTACCTGTCACTATTTTGTTTCCCGAGAACTTAGCATACTTACTAAGGTTATGGTTTAGCATGCTTGAATGAATAAGCATATATATTTGGACTGTACTTTCCATTGAGACAATGTATTGTTTTTGTAATTTTTTTTATCATTTGAAGGAAGAATTGAAAAGTTATCATTTGTGAGATTAGTGCTCTAAATAGGTGATACTGTTTTTCTCACAGGTTCAAGTAAAAAAACAGTTGAGAGAAGCAAAGGACAAGAAAAATAAAAGCTCTTTGAAGAATCAACTCTCCTGTCACGAAAATTCTAAAAGCTGTACAAGGTTAGTGATTAACTTTAGAAATGGAATCCAAATGAGTGGAATCAGAAATTAACTATTGCGAAAAGAATACTCTTTTTTTTTTTTTGAAGCAGAGTCTTGCTCTGTTGCCCAGGCTAGAGTGCTGTGGCGTCACCGTAGCTCACGGCAACCTCAAACTCCTGGGCTCGAGCAATCCTGCCTCAGCCTCCTGAGTAGCTGGGACTACAGACATGCACCACCATGTCTGGCTAGTTTTTTCTATATATTTTTAGTTGGCCAATTAATTTTTTTAGTTGGCCAATTAATTTATTTAGTTGGCAATACTCACTGAGATTTATTGAACCTATCACTAATTTATAACATTGTAGTTTCTTAGATCTTAACTTTTGAGTAATTACAGACTTCTTTGGGACAGCGAAGAAAGCTACAGATCCCTCTTACTAGAAAAACACACTTTTACAGACATAAAACTTTGTGTATAATTTCAAATTATACACAGAGTACCCTCTTCAAGAGCTCACACGTGAGCCCCAAAGTTAATAACTGCATTAGAACAATTTTATAACTATTTCTGAACCAGCTTTGGTTCTTGCATTAATGTTTGCATAGTAGATAGTAGCATGGTTTTCTCAGGCATAGTGAAGAAATATCTTTTGGTAGCTTCATTCTTTTTTTTTAATTTTTCTTTTTCCTCTTCCACTCTGAAGGAAGATTCTTCATTCTTGATAGAATTTTTATTACTGACTGTGACAATGTCATAAATGTGCATTGTTGTGGCTCCTCAAAATTCTCTTGGCTCTTGCTGAGAATGCAGTGGTCATTACTGAATGGCCTGTAAGGCTCATGTCTCTTATTTGGATCTAACATAGCTGAAATAGTCCACATGTTTAATTGCTTTTTATCAGAAATTTGTCACAAGGGGATGGTATAGGGAAATATCAGAAGCAAAATAATGATTTACTTTTGCCCACTAAGTCATACCCCTAATGATTTCTCTCAAAGTGGGAAATCTGTTGACTGTTGGATATTTACAGGATATCCTTTTTGGAGTCTTTTGGATGTTTTTAGCAGTCCTGTCTTTCAGCCTTCTGTTTATTGCATATGCCTGGTTTATCCAACATGTAGACGAGATCCATTCAGTATTGTCTCTCCCTTCTAAAACAACAAAATCCTGACACCCTTTTCTTTCTCATATTTTCTACAAGTTCCAAATAAGGGATTGCAAGTGGTATTTAGTTTCTTGATAGTGAACCTCCATTTTAAGTCATTAAAGTGGAGAATAGCAACTAGTCATACTTTCTTTGTTAGAATTTCCTAATAACTCTTTAGAAAAAAAAGTAGTATCTACTTACCTCTATTCTACATGGCTCAGTAGCCAGCCAGTCATGATTAGCCAATAATATTGTATTCGTTTTTTAGAGACAGGGTTTCATTCTGTTGCCCAGGCTAGAGTACAGTGGGGTGATATAGCTCACTGTAGCCACGAATTCCTGGGCTCAAGTGATCCTCCCACCTCAGCTTCCCAAGTAAGCTGGGACTACTGGTGTGTGCTGTCGCGCTCCAATGATTTTTTAAGTTTTTTAGAGATGGGGTGTTATAATGTTGCCTAGGCTGATCTTGAGCTCCTGGCCTCAAGTAATCCTCCCCCCTTGGCCTCCCAAAGCTCTGGGATCACAAGCAGGAGCCAACATGCCCAGTCAAGATTATTTTTTAAAGACAGAAGATGCAACTCATTATATGTTAGAATCTAGTTTGACATTCTAATATCTCATGGGAGTCTGTGAGAATATTATACCATTTACCTGATTTTCAGGATAGTTAATAACATTAGTACATAATAGATTTTATTTTGATAGACAGTGAATTAAAAATAAATGAGCAAAACGACAGTCTTCTCTTAGTTATTTCACCTCTTTGTTTATGTTTACAGAAAAAAAGTCATCATAAGAGAAGATCTATTAAGTGCAAAATTTTATGACATCAAGATGATGCATAGTAAGTGACTTTTTGCTTGTGTGTTCTACCTTTTTTGTTTTTTAATTTAATAATTTAATGGTTGTGCCAGAGTTCTTATTGGTAACATTTTGGTTTGGAAAATAGTCGTCTTTGGAGCTCTGCATATTGTGTGGTAAGTACTACATACATTTTGTTTTCATGAAATCATTTATAATGTTCCTTGCACTTTTCTTCTTTTTGCTCAGCTTAGAGAGAGGGGAAAGTGAATGAGTGAGTGAGTGAGTGTGTGTGTGTTGGGAGAAAAGAATGTTTCACACAAAATTGGTGTTTAGCAACCTACATTGCAATCTTACTTCATTCATTAGTGTAGAAGTCCTTAGGGGAGATGAGATAAAGTGCCTTGTGGGCCAGAAACTGTAAGCAGCAAGAAACTAGTTCACAGTTCCCACAGGCAGTTGTGATTTGGCCTGTGTCCACACTTCTAATTTGAAACTTTGGAAATAAAGCACCTCCAAAATACTTACCTATGTGAGTTAAATATTCCTGTATTTTATTCTTGTCTGGTACATGATTTTATTAATACAGGAACATTTTGCAGCAGGGCTTCAATAAAATGGCACCATCCATGGTGCTTTCTAACTCCTTCTTTGGGTTCAGACTGTTAATTCTCTTCTGGAGAACACCTTACTGTGATCTGTTTGTAATCAAGGAGGTCGGTATTTATTTTCCAGGCTAGGTTACAGAGAATTTCTGCATGCGCGCGCGTGTGTGTGTGTGTGTGTGTGTGTATCTATCTATATCTATGTTACTTTTAGTGAATTATGAAGGAGTTAATTAAATTAATTCATTATTTTAAGAAGTAAATAACTTCATTTTTTAATACATTTTGAATACAAAGTTTGGCTGTTTTTTGTTTTTCTGATTGGAATTAACATCTCAGTTTAGATTTACAGATTAACAAATTTCTCAGTTTGATAATTTACAATTAAAGTGAAATTGTGTTAAAAGTTGTTTGTTTTGATTCCTGGAATGAATGAATGAATTAATTAATTAATTTTTGAGACAGAATCTCTGTTGCCCAGGCTAGAGTGCCATGGCGTCAACCTCGCTCACAGCAACCTCAAACTCCTGGGCTCAAGCAATCCTTCTGCCTTAGCCTCTTGAATAGGTGGGACTACTGTCATGCACCACCATACCCGGCTAATTTTTCTATATATTTTTAGTGGGCCAAATAATTTCTTTCTGTTTATAGTAGAGATGGGATCTCGCTCTTGCTCAGGCTGGTTTTGAAATCCTGACCTTGAGCAGTCTGCCTGCCTTGGCCTCCCAGAGTGCTAGGATTACTGGCGTAAGCCACTGCGTCCGGGCTGATCCCTGGAATTTAGTAGTTAAAAAAGCATTTTTCTTTTATTAAAGAACTTTAGATATGAAAACAGTCTTTGTTTTTTATGTCATTGGTGTCATCCTTATTTTATGGATAGGCGTTGCTTGCCAACTCTAGGATCTGATATAAAATTAACTGCTGAGGAAGATTAAATGATGTTACAGATTTTGTCTAGATGATTTGGCCCACTCCCACTGTGCAAATCTTAGTTTTGAGACCCCTGTAATTTTCTTTAAGTATATATCTCCTGCCTGGGCTTATTTTTAGAGAGTGAAACACAGGCAGATCTTAAATCCATACTGCTTTAGTATAGTGAAGATCATTAATAAGGGTCTATGAATCATTCTGACTTGAGATTTTGTTTTACTGTTTCAAACATGAAATTTTTTGTTGTTGTTGTTTGAGACAGAGTCTCACTTTGTTGCCCAGGCTAGAGTGAGTGTCATGGCGTCACCCTATCTCACAGCAACCTCAAACTCCTGGGCTCAAGCAATCCTACTGCCTCAGCCTCCCAAGTGGCTGGGACTACAGGCATGTGCCACCATGCCCAGCTAATTTTTCTTATATATTAGTTGCCAATTAATTTCTTTCTATTTATAGTAGAGATGGGGTCTTGCTCTTTGCTCAGCTGGTTGAACTCCTGACCTCGAGCAATCCACCCCCCTTGGCCTCCCAGAGTGCTAGGATTACAGGAGTGAGCCACCGTGCCCAGCCTCAAACATGAAATATTAAACAAATTTTTTTTGACACAGAGTCTGACTCTATTATTAAACAGAGTTTTAAATGAACATCCTAAGCCCATTCAACATTAGATAGCTAATTTAAAATTATATATTTTTTTTTTTTTTTTTGAACAGAGTCTCGCTTGTTGCCCAGGCTAGAGTGAGTGCCGTGGCTCAGTCTAGCTCACAGCAACCTCAAACCCTGGCTCAGGATCCTTCTGCCTCAGCTCCCAGGACTGGGACTACAGGCATGGCCACCGCCCGCTAATTTTTTTTATATATTAGTTGCCAATTAATTCTTTCTATTATAGTAGAACGCGGGTCTCGCTCTTGCTCAGCTGGTTTGAACTCCTGACTTGAGCAATCTGCCCGCCTCGGCCTCCCAGAGAGCTAGGATTACAGGCTTGAGCCAGGGCGCCCGGCCTATAATTGTTTTTTAAAAAAACATTTCTACCAGAAGATTAACATTGTCCAACTTCTGTAACTTAATGTCATGTTTACTTAGGATACCTGAAGTCATTTGTTTGGTTTAAGATAAACGGAAATATTCATTGTACTTTATGAGTAGACAATACAAAAATGCTGATGCCTTGGTTAGTTATGAGCATGTCTTAACCAATCTATACTGATTTGAAGGGAACTGGGTACTATATCACCCCTTGTTCATAGGCTTTATGTTCTAAGACCCACAGTGGATGCCTGAAACCAAAGATAGTTTCTATGAGAGAGATAGTTTCTCTATCTATATTATGTTTTTTCTTATACATACATACCTATGATAATGTTTAATTTATAAATTACATGCAGTAAGAGGTTAATAATAAAATAGAACAGTTATAATAGTATACTGGAATAAAAGTTATATGGATGTGGTTTCTCTCTTTCTCTTGCAATATTTTTTTTTTGATGAATATCTTTTTTTTATTTCGGCATATTATGGGGTACAAATTTTAAGGTTTCAATAAATGTTCTTTTCCCCCCTCCCCCCCACAAGTCTGATTTTCCAGCATGACCATCCCCCAGATGGTGCACATCTCACTTATTATATATGTATATACCTGTCCCCCTCCCACCTGCCCAATACCCTATGTCTCTTGCAATATTTTATAATACTTTACTCACCCTTCTTACAATGAAGGGGAGCTACTGTAAGATTTCATCATGCTACTCAGAACAGTGTGCAATTTAAAACTCATGAATTGTTTATTTCTGGAATTTTTCATTTAATATTTTCAGACCACAGTTGACCATAGTTAACTACACCTGCAGAAGGAAAAAATGTAGATAAGGGGGAACTACTATATTTATTGATTATCCATTTAGTTACTTTTTCTATGATGTTGCTTTTTACTTGGGGATTTTAATAAGTCTAACATGGACAATTTTTTTTCTGTATTGAAATAGATTATTTTCCTGATTAAATAGCTTATATTTAGGTATCATGTTTCATCAAAATTTTCAGACTTAAATTCTATTAATAGACTCATATTCAACATATACTCAGAAGATGTTTATAGTTAGAGAGGCAAAAGGGAACTGAGATCACTCATTCAGTCAGTAAGTACTTACTGTGCTGAGCACAGTTCTAGACTCATAAGGATATAGTAGTAAACAAAAGTAACAAAATGCTTGCCAATAGAGACTTTCTTTTTGTGGACAATAAAAAGATAAATATATAAGACAAGTGGTGATATGCTTTAGATGCTTCAAAGAATAAACCAGAGTAAAGGGCTAAAGGGTAATGACATTGTGGAGGTGATATTTTATATAAAGGGTCAGGGAATGCCTCTTGGATAAAGATATATTTGAGCATTGACATTAAAGAAGTAAGGAATTAAGCCATGAAGGTATCTCAGGCAAGAGTATTCCAGGCATGGGAAGATTGTCTCAGGCAAGGGAACAGCAAGTGTAAAAGCCCTGGGACAGGAGTATTCTTGGTGTGTGTAAGGAATAGCAAGGAGTTTAGTGTGCCTAGAATGATTGAGTTAGGTAGATGGAGGAGGAGGAAGAATGAAACACTGGGGAGTCAGTAGTTCATTTAGGGCCATGTGTGGTGGGAAAGTATTTTCAGGAGTAACGTGATATGACACATTTTTAAAGGATTACTATTGCTATTAAGGGAAGAAGATCATAGGAAAGTAAGAGTAGAAGCCAAGGTTGACTAGTTGAGTTTTTGTTGTTGTTGTTGTTTTAGAGTGGCTTTTTTGTAGGCCACAAATTATGCTGGCTTGGGCCAAGGAGGTGTTAGTGGAGGTGATGAGAAGTGGTTCAATTCTGTATCTGCAGTTGACTTTTGAACATTGCAGGGGTTAGGGGTGCTGACTTCTGTGCAGTTGAAAATCAGTGCATTTTAACTTTTGACTCTCCAAAAATTTGACTACTAAAGCCTTCCATTGATGGGAATCCTTACAGATAAACAGTTAACACATAATTTGTATACTGTATGCATTATATACTATATTCTTATAGTAAAGTAAGCTAGAGAAAAGAAAATATCATTATAAAATCATAAAAGATACTCTTTGTTGAGTAGAAATGGATCATCATAAAGGTCTTTATTCTTGTTTTCTTCTTGAGTTGGTTGAGGAAGAGGAGGGATTAGTCTCGCTGTTTCAGGGGTAGCAGAGATGGAAGAAGTGGAGAACGTGGAAGGGAGAGGCAGGCACATTTGGTGTAACTTACAATGAAAAATGCACGGAAAGTGGACCCATGCAGTTCAAACCCATGTTGTTCAAGCATCAACTGTGTTGTATTTCAAAGGTGAAACTAACAGGATTCCTGATGAATTGGATATAGGGTACAAGAAAGAAAGAAGTCAAGGTTGACTCCACGGTCTTGACCTGTGAGCAACTAGTAAAATGGGAGCTGCCGATTACTGAGTTGGGGAAGGCTGGTAGGAGAACATTTGACGCCCTCTAGCCTGGGCAGCAAAG